TATCTGTCAATATAAACCCGCCTCATTATGTGTCAGCTATAGATTCAAGCTGCCGGCATCATCAGAGGGGTTTAAGCCTTAAACCAGCCTCATTACACAAACTCCTATCAGTCCTAATTGCCAATACAGGAGCTTATGGATTCTGCAAACACTTCATAATACTGTAAATGTCTGAGGAACAAATCAGCCTCTAAAGAGTGTCCTGTGTAGTTCAGTGCTTTTTCATTATGCTCATAAAGGTGGAGTTTTTGATATCTGGTATAATAAAGACAATGACACTTTTAAGGAGACAATAGGGTATCGTGTTGTCATGTTTAAACTCTGGCCAGGCAAGTTTATTTCTTAGCACATGTAGCTCATTAGCACATTAAGCTATTTCAGCACGAGGCAACTCGTAGTGCTTTACAAAAGAAATATGAAAATAAACGAGATATAGTGCATCAGAAAGAAATGATAGATTACATCGAAACAGTCAAATAAGGCTATCTGTATTATCTGTTCTAATCAGAACAATGAAAACATTCAGTTGGACAGTCAATTATCTTTCATTAATATCCAAACTTAGGAAAGGCAAGATTATTTACATGGCATATTTCAACACAAGGCAACTTAAAGTACGTTTGGAGAATATATGCATTAAGATAAAGTGCAACAGAAACATATTATAAAATGACATTTGATTCAATTTAAAAACAGCTCTAAACAATTTGCTATTTAGAAACTCCCTCTTGAGGGAACTTTGAGATTGTAGCCTTTGAAGACCATTTACATGCACAGAAACCTATAGAACACACTACAGGAAAGCATTTGTATATTGCACTTTTACAAAGAGGCAACTCGATGTGCTTTACATAAAATATATCAAAACATTAAGATATAGTGCAACAGAAGCACATTATATAATGACTTTTAAGTACAATCAAAACACATGAAAACCAGAGAGAATTCATAGCTCTATATATATAAATAAACATTCATCATAGCTAAAAGAGACAAGATAGTTATAAAAAGCATGAATAACAGCGACAGTGCAGTGTGAGATACAATTAGTCATTTTATTTAATAAAAGGCTGCGGCAAAAGTTTTCCTGCAAAGCCCTGAGGGGTATTTCATATTACAGATGAACCATAAATACATGAGGACTGTAAATTAGACCTATGTCAAGCACATTTTCATATTTTAAAATACAGTATTAAATAATCTGACCATTGAAAAAAAGTCTCTCATCTCTCCAACTTTTATATTTAATGCACAAATATAAGGTGGCCAGAGCATCAATATGAACAGTATTACATACTATTACAACTAGAAAATATTGAATATGATGTGCAAACACGGCAGGTCTGGCATTTCTTCATTAGGAATTGAAGTGATGCGTGCTTGATGTGCGTCGGGTGTGTGCTTCAAATTCATGAATAAGCACTTCTCAATCCAGTCTGATCAGATTAGCTCTGAAACGCTTTGAAACTCCCTTCTGGTGTCCTATGTTTAGAGATTGAAATAATTAATATGTTACTCAGAAATGATTCACGAAGCCACCGCCTGAACCATATTTATTTGTTGAACTATTCATCGTGCACTGGATGTTCTGTAGGCGCAATACTGCAAGAGAGATCTCAAGCACATTCTGTGATGGCATAACAAAGCCTGCAAAAAAATGGTTTATGTTTTATCTTCTGAAACAACTTGAGGTGCTGATATCTGACAAACATTTAGCCAACAGCACGCACAGAGATTCAGCAAAAATAAAGGATTTAAAAAACAATACAACCCGGTTGATTTTCCATAAAATAAAATAAAAATATTCCTACAGAAAACGGTGTCAAATAAATCCACGATTTATCCCGAAACCAAACAATTCTCTTCTCTTTTTGCAGACTCAGATCAGCCTAACTGCACAAAAACAAGTGTCCATAAATGCATAATAATCGTATTCAGTTCTAAATAAAATACAGGACGCTGGGTAGAGCCTCCTCCCACACTTTATAGTTGTTTCTTGAAAAGCATTTCTTGACAACGTATCACCGCTGTTGATGACACACTGACATCCCCCCTTGGCTTTTACTCTCTGTCGACACCCACTAGAAGTAGCACCATAGTTATATAGGCTTTTCTGCATGTAAATGGTCTGCGAAGGCTAAAATCCCAAAGTTCCCTTTGGAACGCCTTTCTCGAGGGAGTCAGACGCTGGCGCTCAGAGAAAGAGGCAAAGTTGACACAGGCCATAGATAGTAATCTCATCAAAAATGGCTCGAACAAGCATGTACATTATGTCTGGATTTGCAAAGGCTTAACGTCTATATTTTATTTATGTATTGCCTATAGGTGATGCATTTTGCAACATTCATTGGATAATATTACTAGCAGTGGGTGTGGCTGGTCTGGCTCGCTGTGTTGTTGACAATAGATTAGTCAGAGCTGCCAGTGTGTTTGTGTGTGTGAGTACGTTTGGGAGAACATTGATCCGCCAGGCTCTGATAGTCTGTTCACACACACACACACACACACACACACACACACACACACACACACACACACACACACACACACACACACACACACACACACACACACACACACACACACACACACACACACTTGAACCCTTGTCTCTGTTCATAGAGGGTCTTACAATGAATGACGTCCTAGACGACAGCGGTGCGGAACGCCACCATGTCAAAGGGCAACACAACTGGACAAGAGACAGTATGAACAGCACAAGCAGACAGCAGACATACTCTAGATCAAAACCACTCACACCATCATATATCACATGCATTGAAATCAAGATTTATTTTACTGGATGCATGATGAAACCATTTTGTTATTTGTTATGTTTTCTTCTTTCTAAATGGTAAATGGCCTGCCTTCATTCAGCGGTTTTCCAGTTTTTGCGACCCCTCAAAGCACTTTTACATGAACTTGTCAGCAGTCACCATTCACACAGGGGCAGAGGCTGCCATACAAGGGGCCATCTGCTCATTTATACACACTCACACACTGTTGGCCATCAGAAGCAATTTAGGTGTAAGTATATTGCTCAAGAACACAAAGATATGTTGACTGCAGGGGTTGAGGGTTGCCAATAATGTACAGTTGCCGTACTACAAATAAATGCAGTTTATGCTTCCGAAGGCAATAACATTGAAAAAGCTGATAATGTGGAGAATTCAGGTCAAGATCTTTCCATAGAGGCTAATATTAGTGGTTGGTAAATAGTTTCAACCTGATATATTGGTTTGACAGCATACTTTATTTTTTACAGTAAATGTGGTAAGTGCCTTTAAGGCCGCAATGAACGTGTATATGGTGTATTTTCCTTTATTCTGCAGTAACTAGCCTCTTGACAGTAACGGCCCGTCCACACTACAGGCATCAAAAAATCTTGAAGCTGGGCGTGTCTGAAGCTTGGCGATTTTTTGCGAGCAATGCCACCAACAACCAATCACATGAATCTCCCGCCCCCGACATACAAAGCAATAGCAATGTTAAAACGAAGTAAACTGGATATAAACTCTCCAAACAGGCGAAAAACCTACCAGTTTCACCCACTGTCTCTGCCTGCACCACCTCCCCCCCCCCTCCCCATGCCTGGGGTGGCTTCCGCCCGGTTTGGGGTATTCTCCAGTTAAAATAGTGTTTCTGGGTCGTGAAGAGCGCGGCACAGGACCGGGCGGGATGTTACTTACCGTTAATTTAATTGTCTCGTTTTGAATGATGGGAAAGAAGTGCCCGTCCTGCTTCAGCTTTGCCCCCCCGGGGCGCGGTTTGATTTGGCTAGCGCTTGTACTGGGATTTGCATAAGAGCGGATTTGATTTGGGGCCGCGGTGCCAGTGTCCCCAAGATCGTGAAGCATTAAAAGTGAACAGGTTGCCTGCAATTTGTGTGATGGCTTGCAGAGAGCCGATTGCTCCGCTCCTCAGCAATGCGATTTGTGCCGAAGATTTACTCAAATCTTCTACGTCACCATTCAGGGGATCCGGGCGCGATTTGGGGGCGAAGTTTTTTTTGAAAGATTTGTTTTCGATTGCCTGTGTGGGTTTGGGACCCGGGGGGGGCCGTGAGATGGGTTTACACATCGTTGAGTGACACTTCATAGAAGGTGCCAAATCGCTCCATGCTGTTTTCCGAAGTTTTTATTTCGAAATGGACGGGACCAAAAGGGGGAGCATCTGTTTTTTTTTCTGAAGGACTTGTCAGAATCCGTTATACACAGAGGGGATACACATTGTTGATGTAGAAGAGGGCGAGGACAGAAGTGCTTGAGTCTGGTTATAATTACGAGTGAGCCTAACGTAAGACAAAGATATTATAGTTAATGTTTCCGTATCTGTTTTCTTGTTCACTTACTACCATCTTTTGACCGTTAGTACGAGGACACTGGCAGCGCTGCGGTACCTGGCGAGGAAAGGACCCGTTGGCGTTCTCGCCGGTGTCACTTATACTGCTTCTTCCCATGGAGACTCAGTGCAGCTACGTGCTGCAGCGTAGAAAGGAAGAATGATAAGGAATGTGTTTTTGAATAGCATCGTCGTTTACTTGAAGTCCTCTGTTCTGGAGTGCTATGCAGTATAACTCCTGTCACCTTACCGCAGCAGCAGTTGACTTCCAAGTCTTAATACCCTGATCACAGGAAATGAAGTGAAAGACAGATGGCGGTTATCCGGGTTGTTCGCGCTTGATGGCCAGCCGCGAGTTATCTACGCGCAGTAACGACCCATCAAATTACAAAAGAAACCCCAATAAGACATCTCAGCAGCCCCAACGCAGTATTAGGAGAGAGAAGTGAGCGCGAGTACGGGCGAGTAAAATGGTTCTATGACTATTAACGTATTGTTGCCACCAGAGGAACTTATAGTTCAGGGCGCCATGCACGGTTGAGTGAGTAGTGTGGCGTGGGAGCGATGAGGCGAGCGAGTTGAGATTCATCAGGTGTGATATGGTTGGGTATGAGAGTCCCGTCTCCTGCTTGGGTAGTGTAGATAGAGGAGGGTTCGCAATGCGAGGTGGTGTGTGGAGAGAGAGGGAAGGAGCGGTTGCGTGTTCTGCGAGCGAGACAGGGGGAGAGCAGGTACCTGCTGCCGGGGGAGTTTTTAGAGATACAGGTATCTGGTCCTGACTCACTCGACTGACGTATTGCTTTTGTTCAAGGTTCCCGAGTTGGTCTGCGTTTGTTCTGGGCAGGAGTACACTGGGCGCGGAGGGAATGAGAGCGTGGTGTCGAAAGAGAGCTGCAGGTCAGTCGGTAGCATGAAAGAAGGGTGGAGAGTNTGCTCGACAAAAGTGAAATAGTGAGAATATCTCCAGGCGGAGAAACTCGACTTAAGCTCCGCTGCCGCCATGATAGTCTTGTTAGTAAACATAAACACGCCCACAGCGCGTCTCCGCATGTGACACAGGAAGTATCTAAGTACATTTACTCAAGTACTGTACTTAAGTACAGTTCTCATCTCTGTTCGCCTCGCTGTTGGCGCCGCTCACCAACGTCTGGGAGCCGAGACTATATAAAAAAAATAACGGAGTAACGTACCATGTAGTAACGGTAACTGAGTTACTGAATTTAAAAAATAATGAGTTAGAGTATAGTTACTGCCAAAAATAACGGCGTTACAGTAACGCGTTAGTCCCAACACTGTTTGTAAGTCAATTATTGTATTGTCTCCCACTTCCTGTTTTGTTTTGACACTCACCTGTTACGTTTCATTTGAGGTTCCTTGACTCCCTACACTTATGTGTGTCTCTAGGGAGGAGTGTGGCGCAGTGGATAGTGCGTTGGTGTTTGGATCAGGGGGTCGCAGGTTCAAACCCAACTGCAGTCAGCATGTCGTTGTGTCCCTGGGCAAGACACTTCACCCAAAATTGCTCCTGTGGGGAATGCCCACAGTATTGAGTAACGGCCCGTCTACACTACAGGCATCAAAAAATATTGAAGCTGGGCGTGTCTGAGGCTTGGCGATTTCTCGCGACCAACAACCAATCAGGAATCTCCCGCCCGCCCCCGGCATACAAAGCAAAAAAAAGCCTGCTTCTTCAACAAAGTAAACTGGATATAAACTCCCCAAACAGTTGAAAACCTACCAGTTTCACCAACGGTCTCTGCCACCTTCCGCCATGCCTGGTTCCTCCGGTTTAGGTCCCGGTAGGTGAACAGAGTACGGTCATACAGGACTGGGACACTTGCCACGGCAATGATTAATTTATCAAGACCTGCGGTATCAGCATACACGCGGTTTGATTGGCTAGCGCTTGTACTGGCGGGAATTGACCGCAGGTCTTGATAAATTAATCATTGCCGTGGCAAGTGTCCCAGTCCTNGTTCACGTGCATGCTTGACGCGTACGCACTCACCGTTATTGAGAGGCAATGGTCGTCCAGCTGCCATCACACAGCTAAAGTCTTTGCGGTGTGTTCCAGTGCGACTATTGGCCAAGAAGCAGGAGACGTGAGGCGACACAACAGTCGTGTTCCGTCGGGACGTGTTCTTTGGCGTCAGTTTGGTGTGTCAGGGCCTTTAGGTGAAATGGACAGTAAAGAAAAGCAGTCCCTCAATGTGTTGTAATGGGTTGTTGTCCATGTTCTTTATTTAGTAGCAGGTTTTTTGCCCACCATAATGATGCTTTACAGTTAAATAAGAAAAAGAACCAGATTAGAGATGCTATAATTGACAGTTATTATGACAATAGCAATATTTGCTGTGTTTATTGACTCTAAAAAAGCATTTGACTCATTAGTTTGATTGTTATGTTGGTACTTTTTATAGCCTGGTCAACTGCAATTGCAATGGATACAAACACAGAATAGGAAGACAGATGCATTCAGTGTTACTTGGAAACAAAGATGTCATTCTACACACTAGTGTCGCAGTCGCAGTATCAAACAGTTGTCTAGTGACCATTTGGGACAGAGATAAAGCTTGACTGGACCCGAATTTGATCTTCGACAAACTCAATCAAAAACATAAATCAGTTCACATTTTGACAGTTTCTCATGTTTATATGTATCAACAAATCCTATTTTGTCCTAATCTGTTTATTTGTTTATGTGGGAACAATGAAAGTATGCGGCTGTGAAATAATCCAATTTTGTGGTTGTGAAATTTGGCGTTCGCATAATTAAAAAAGAATGCACACGCATTGGCTGTTGATGCCTTCGCTTGATCTCACACTCTATGTCTACGTCTGTTGTTATCTGGAAGGCATCTAAATATAAAAGACAAGCAGAGAAAGGGAGCTGCTCAGCCATCGTGGCAAAGACAGATTACACGACTGCGGCTGTCCTGATGCTGCAGCAGCTATTTGTCACTATTAGTTTCCCTTCATTTTAGTGAACACATTATTAAGATAACTCCATGATAGTCCCTCTACCTTGGCATGTGACAAACGGCCAAGTGACAGCTTAATTTGCATGCCTCTCTCTTATCCAACATGACCAATAATGAAGTCTATTTGAGTCAGACGGACAGGCGGGTCACTCATCACACACAAATGGCTGAATTGATTAAATGCTCTTTGCAGCAGTCAAAGTAAACACTTCCTGCTTCTAGTAGAAACTAATGATGATGGGAAGATAGCTACAATTGTGTTTTTTAGGGGTACCAAACATCAATTCTCGGATCACACACACGATGCACGATGAGCCTTGTATTCAATGTTTTATTTATAGACAACTACAAATCCTCTGGCCTAGTTTCACCTCTTTCCCCTCCACCGATGTCTTGTTGATGTGTCATTGATGGCTGTTTCCCCTAGTTGGAGAAACAATGGATCAATATGAGCTTTGCAGGTGGATCCTCCTACATAACTATCTAGAAAGGTTGTTGTAAGTTGCTAAAACAACTCCTAAATGTGCTAATTACTTTGATTATGGAGACTTCTTTTACTTACAATCATGGGACACGTTTAGATGCTTTAATGTTCAAAAAGTTATTTATTTTTCTCGTACTGCCTGTGCTGCAGCACCTCTTTTCACCCTCTGTCTGAAACCAGAGCCCAGTCTGCTCTGATTAGTTATTGGCCCCTAAGCCTATCATGTACAATGTGTTGGAGCACTAACCAATAGAAGCGCAAGTGTTAAATTGTGATCTCACTATGGAAGTAAACATAGGAGTCCAATAGAGGAGATTTAGGCTGGGGGGTGTGTGAGAGAGAAAGTCTATCTGGCATGAGCTTTTGGATTTAAGCCTTTGCAGACCATTTACATGCACACACACATAACACACTACAGGAAAGGGAAAACCGCAGAAAGCACAATAGGGGACCTTTAAATCCTAATATGTCATTCCGAGTCCCTCAGTACATTGGGGCATTAAACCTTGCAGGGAATTGTTTTCATAGCAGTTTAACAGCGGTGGAAACTGAATTAAAAAGTGTTGCAATATGTTGCTCTTAGTGTGAGACCAGAACTTATTCAGTAGGTCTGCAAATTGGGTGGGATTGTTAAAGTATCTTTTATTGAAACTGTGGAACTCATCGAGAGGGGAATGAAAAGTACCAAACTATAAAAACCACATGCCTTGACAGCTGAAATTAAAAGTTTTTTAATCTCGTTTCTTGTGTTTTTCATGGAGTTTTGAACAAACTAAAAAGATGCGGCTTAGATTGGCGGGGAGTCTCAAGTTAGAATGATTTTGTTTTGGGATCATGCGTTGAGGGATGTTGATATACTGCTGTCCTTTTTCCAAACATGTTGTTCTTCTTTTAAGCTAATCAATTAAAAGCTTGAGAGGAAATAGAAGATGACAAAATGTAGCATGTACACTAATCTATGCTGAAAAAAGGAAATATTTACAACGTCAGATGATACGTTTGGATAAATTGACATAGGCAGATGCTTTAATTGTTTTACTATTATAGCTGAGCTCACCATCCTTTACTTTTCTTTACACAGCTCTCAATGCAGAATTGTTGCTGTTTCTTTTCGCTGAAAACATTAAAAATCCTTGCATGTGTGAGTACAGGGTCAAACATTCTGTCTGACCTTCTCAAACTTAATGAGGTTTGATGACAGCTGTGCAAGAACAAGACAGTCACATACATCAAAAGTTTTTTGGACAGCTTAATCGGGATTTGGCTGCCCCTTCATTGAGCTGGGCATCAGGGTGGAAGACAGCAGAATGACAGGAGTCAACACCATCAAAGTTGTTTCCACATTGCACACACACAAGACAGTAATTTTTAATACTTTACAAGCACTAAAAAACAATGTTAGGAACCTTGTTGCTGTTTAATTTGTCATCTGCATGCATCAGGTTGTTGACATGACGTGGGTGTTGGAGAGGGAGGTGTACCTTTAATTAATTTGTAGTTAATTGTTCAATTATGTCGTTGTTTCCTCTGATTGCTTTTTGAAGAACAACCTGTCAGACTAATCTTTACCGTGTAAATAAACAAAGACTCACTTTGGCAAAGAGTTGTTTACAAAGTTATGCTTCGCTTACTCTAACTGGTCTCCATTGACAATAGTGAGAAGTACAATGTGTATCCATGTATAGGATCTACAGTGTACATTATGTACATGTTGGCTGAATCTAAACTGAATCTAAACTGAACAAAACCAATCACAACATCCTTTTTTTTCTTTTTTTTGTGAATGTTTGTGTGCTCTTACAAGGATTCAAAGTAATGGTCATGTTTTCAGTTGGTCTAAGCGGGCATTCCAAGTTACATTTCGGCCTCGCCACACACACCTACACAAACTTCCGCTCACGATAACAGGTTTATACAAAGAAAAAAACAAACATAAGATCAAAAAAGGAGAAAATAAACATTACATTTTCTTCACACTCTTTTCACCAAAAGCAAATTGGCAAAGAAATTAGTTTCCTATTTACAGGGAAATAAAAAAATACATGTTATGCATATTTTCAGGTATGTAATGCCTCTATTGAGACATGTTTCCACGCTTTAATGTTCAAAAAGCCTTTTTTTTCTCATACTGCCTGTGCTGCAGCACCTCTTTTCACCCTCTGTCTGAAACCAGAGCCAAGTCTGCTCTGATTGGTTCGCTGGACGGCTCTGTTTTGGTTGGTCAACTGCTAAGAGATGTCCAGCCCCTTAGGTTATCACGTGTTATGTGTCGGAGCGCTAGCTAATACAAGCTTGAGTGTTACACATTATGTTACTTAAGTAAACAGAGGTCCAATGGAGGCATTTCAGGTGGGGGGGATCATGTGGCAGAGAAACTCCCTGTGGAGTGAACCTTGAGATTTTAGCCCTCGCAGACCATTTACATCCACAAAAACCTATAACACACTACACTACAGGAAAGAGAAATCCCCAAAAAACAATAGAGGGCCTTTTTTAATGTTATAGGAAAGTCAACACACTCTACATTGAAAACAATATAAACCCTTTATAAAAAAAGTATAACATTGATTAAGGAACAATGGGAAAGTAAGACATTTAACACCTTAATGTAAATGTGCCTTTCAGAATAAAAGCCTCAGCGAAACTCTCATGTACAGGAATGTACTCTTTCAATGTACTCTATAAATAATGGAGCAACAACATAAACACTGCCACACGTCACATTATTACCTTTCCCACAAAACGGCATACTGTCAAAGAAACTCTCAAAGACAGCCAGGCGAGTTCTCTCCTTTACAAGCCAATTATCCCTCTGCTGGGGAAAATGCCATTTCACCATCTGAGTTTCAGTTTTCTGCGCATTCCTTGGTAAACTGACAACACAAAGCCCTCGGATTCATTACCTCACTCAATATTTTTTATTTGTACCTAATAAGATTTCAATTAAATTAAAATACTTAAAGTTGAATTCATTTGTTGTGTTGGTTTCTGTGATTCCTTTGATGCTGTAAAGGCATTGTTCTTCAGTTTCTCCTAATTATCACATTGACATCTATGAACTTGTGTGTGTTCAGGGGGTGTGTGCATCTCCCAGTCTGTGAAGATTCCCCGGGAGCCCAAGCTGGGGGGGTTTGACAAGATCATCCGGCGTCTCCGGGAAAACCCGAACGCGAGAGTCGTCATACTTTTCGCAAGCGAAGACGATATCAGGTAAGGCCTGGTAATAACTGCTTTGAAGATTAGACTGCAGCAGGCAGGGAAACATGTCGGGAAACATCCAATTCCTTCCAGCTCTGCTTAACCACTGTGTAATGAATTGCAAAACAAAATCAAAGCAGAGCTGGTCGGGATGCTGACCTTATCCATGACAACATCTGTCTCTTCACCTTTGCAGGCGGCTACTCCAAGCGGCTAAAAAGGCCAACCAGACAGGTCACTTTATCTGGGTGGGTTCAGACAGCTGGGGCTCTAAGATCTCTCCGGTGGTGGACCAGGAGGAGATGGCGGAGGGAGCGGTCACCATCCTGCCCAAGCGGCAGTCCATCAAAGGTACAGAGAAGAGCATGGTACATATATAACATCTCCCTGTATAGTAAAACCATGTACCTATATGTTCACTTTATGTGTATTGTTGCATCGATTCACTTGTCTTGTGTCTTATCTTTCCGAAATAAATCATTATTTATTTTATTGTTTTTTTAATTATCATAGCTTTTACCTCCTTGTGTCTCTTAACCTGTTGACATTTTTTATGTTGCTGTATGTACTGTATCTGTAAAGCTCTTAACATCTGATCTGAGGGGAATTTCATGTTGTTTATTTTTTACTTGTGATGTTAGCCATTTTGTAAAGCACGTGCTGTATGAAAAGTGCTTTGTAAAGCTTTATTATTATCATTATCATTATTTTATAATTATTATTATATGCATTTCTCAGTGAGTACACTGTAAAAACTGAAACGTTGACTTTAATTAAATGTATTATGCCAACAGATTTAACATAAATGTATATAAGTAGTAGGTTCAACTTAATATTATTGCTTTTAACTAACCTAATACAGTTATGTGAAACTTGACGACGTACTACATGTAATTAAAAAGAACATTTCAGTTTGTTCAGTGTATTCCTTTCATGTGATGCAGGACTGTAGCTATTTGCAGAATAAAAGGTGCTTAGTAAAGCTTTACCTTTAATTATTTGATCATCAAATGATATTCTGTCAAACAGATTAAACATATGCAATGATCAATGAATTAGACGGTATACACATGAGGGTTTCACAGACACTCACTGTGTCAATGACAATGTACCTATTGATCTGTCTAGGGTTTGATCGTTATTTCATCAGCCGAACGCTGGAGAACAACAGAAGGAATATCTGGTTTGCCGAGTTCTGGGAGAACAACTTCAGCTGCAAGCTCAGCCGTCACGCCTTGAAGAAAGGGTCTGGCCTGAAAAAGTGCACAAGTAAGACGCTCTCCTGATGTGGAAAAAGCTTTTTAACTTTTCTTTTTTTTGCTTAAAGTTTTTAACCACCTTGAAAAACCTCCCTCTGATGTTTTGAGGCAAGTGACACATTTGGCTCACAGTGTTTTTTGACAGCATTGCCAACCTATAAAAAAAAGTGGAGCAGCCATACATTTAATATTCAAACTCACAGTTAATCTCAAAACTCATTTCAGGACTGCACTATATTTCTGCTGAGACCAGTGTGTTTACCCACATGGCTATAACAAGTGGATGGCTCAGCTGGACTGCATGGTTAAAGCTTCGGGCTCGGAGCCACACGATAAACAGCTGCGGAGAGCACAATCTGTCTGGAGGAGGAAAAACGCTGCACATTTTATTAAGATTTAAACACCAATTAGGTAGTACAACATATGTATTTAAAAGATGAGAGACAAAATATCAGTCCCTGGAGAATTCCTCACAGATGCTTTATCTTAATAGTTATTTCTTAGTTTTTAATTACTTCTCAGGAATATCCAGCGCTAGGGCCCGTCTACACTACAGGCATCGAAAAATGCTTTCAACGCTTCGCCCATTCACTTGAATGGGGTGACGTAGAAGATTTTTAATCTTCGCCGAACTGCATTGTGGGGAGCATGGCATGGCTTTGCAAGCATCACGAGCATCTATTCGCATCAAAAGTTGAACAATGTTCAACTTTTGAGGCTCAATGCTTGGCATCAGCCAATCAAATCCCGTTTATGCAATTCCCGCCAGTACAAGCGCTAGCCAATCAAACCGCGTGTATGCTGATACCGCAGGTCTTGACTATTTTCCATATGTCATAAAATGGAAGATAAATTAATCATTGCCGTGGCAAGTGTCCCAGTCCTGTATGACGGTACTCTGTTCACCTACCGGGACCTAAACCGGAGGAACCAGGCATGGCGGGAGGTGGCAGAGACAGTGGGTGAAACTGGTAGGTTTTTCGCCTGTTTGGAGAGTTTATATCCAGTTTACTTCGTTTTAACATTGCTATTGCTTTGTATGTCGGGGGCGGGAGATTCATGTGATAGGTTGTTGGTGGC